TTGATGGTTGATTGTCGAGTGGATCGTCACCGTTGAATTGGTGACGATGTTGTGGTGGTGCTTTGTCAAGTGATATTCTGTTGGATGGGTGGGAGAATGTGCCTGATATTGTACTACAGCATTAGTGAAATAATATTTTGTTCGATTCAACTCAACTTACCGAGCGGTGTTTTCTAACGTTTTATATTGATTACATTACAATTATTGAAACACAGCGGAACGTATAGATTGAAATGGACATATTTGTGCTTGCGAATGAACACACTTCCCGGTTAAGTGATTGTTGATTTTATTTTATCACTAGGTGTTTCGTTTCTAGTTTGCTTGAAAACGATGCAAATCAGAAAAAACACTCTCCCAATTTTTCTTCATTGTGGTGGTTCAAAAGAAGCAATCTTCAAGGAGTAGGCAGGCGATTTGGAGGAGCATAAATGAACAAATGTGCAGCGAAGAAGAAAGACGGGAATGAAAAAAAAAAGAAAACTCGAAGAAAAAAGATGACATCTAGCAGTGAACGAAAGACGAGTCATTGATTATCGTCCAGTTGCTAGACGTATATTTCATTTATTCTCATTTCATTCACGTTCCACTCAAATTTTGTTTTATTCGATAAAATTCACTAAATAATATTTTGAGCTCTCAACATTCCATTCGTTAAATAATATCTTCTTTCATTGATCCTACTGAACCATTATCATTTAATACTACTTAGTCGGAAATAGTTCGTAAATATCGGTGACTAAAAATCATAAAATGCAGATTGTTACTATTGAACAATCTTACAAAATAAATGGAACCTGTTCAGTTTCCGCATAACTTCACAGATTACATTGCAAACTCGAATTTTGCTAAAAATAAGCTTTTGCTATCATTGATGGACGCTAATCGTTTTTCGATAAGAACGAAGCGTGAAGTATCCGATTGCAGAGCATTTATCTTCAATCATTGGTTTTGTGCACATTGCCTATATACTATTTACTTAAACATTCACATACATATGTATTCTTATCGTACCCTTAGAAACAATATGCCTCGACTGACCAATTATATTAAATTATCTGTCGCATTTTATGCTGCTTTTATGATTCTGTTATAATAGCACATTAGTATTGCGTTGTTCGCATGATTTATTTCAAATTTGAATCACTTTACAGGTTCGGTTCAGCTTTACATCACTGCCGCTTTAATTCAATTCAACATAAATCGTTGTGTATCAGAAACACTTTTTTATACCGTTAAGATTGCCATACGCGTAAACATTAATCTATATGCATACACGTATGTGAAGGTATCATTGCAGTCTTGAGTACTTGTTATCAGCTCACTTATTTTTTGCTTACAACCTCAGATTGTCTGAACTTTGCTTCGTGATCCCATTGGCGGATTGCTGAACATTTATTTCGAAGCACTATGGACCGTCTGCGTTCAATTTTGTTAATAAAATCGATGGTAATAGAAGGAGTTTGAACACTGTAAACTGGATACTGATAAGACTCAAGTAGAAGAAGTTTCACTGGTGAACATTATCGCGCTTTTTGTCATATCCGCAGAACAACTTTTCATTTGAGAAGTTTGTCAAGAAAGTGTTATGAATCGATTTCGAAAAACTCATTTGAATTGAATCCGAGAATATGATAACTGAACTCAATTGTAACTCATTCAACCATGCACATTGCAATCAAAAGAAGTATTTAACGCGTGTGAAATAGAATTGTTGGAACTGGTGAAGTGTTGTATATGTTTTGCTGATACAATCCACCAAAGACATCTATCTATCTCATTTATTGTGGATCATTTGATGGCACCGTGATCATATCGTAGCAACTACGAGCGTAATGCACACACTAGTTGCGTATCTTAATAACTGCTCATTAATGATGCATTTAGTTTGAAGTTGAGAAGAGACGTGCTCGATTGAGCCTAATTAGCGAGGCTGTGAAATATTTTATTGTGTTTGCCAAGATCTCGTTCATAATAAAAGATTTCACAGCATAATAAAAGATTTCAATCCTCATCGATACTTTTAAGCATTTGGACATAATGACGAATTACACTGAAGGAAAATGATGTAAGAGAAATTAATTCATAAATTCCTAATTGGTTTACAGCGAATTGCTGCAGTCATCTGCGGGCGATTCTTCAAGACATCGAAATGATTTATTTGCATTACGTCATCATCGCAACTGCTCACCTTATAATCCATTAAAAATACATTATTCATGCGATCATCACACCAATATTTTAGTTATCGAGTGAATGCTTTAAAAGCAATTCTGCATTGCTAACATCTGGATATTAAGTTAGAATATGAGAGAGGAGGATATCTTGAGAATTAATCCAAGTAACTGGACACAACTGCATTTGCAACTTTCTTTCAACGAATCTCTGAACATACAGCAATCAAGGCTAATTTAACTTTAGCCAAGAAAAGTCCGTAATAATTGGCGACAATCAGAGCGAAGCCGGATATTGTGGAATGGAGTACCGGAGCTGAGTTATCAATTATAAAAATAAGATGGTTTCCCGGTACGAACCTCAGCACAAGTCTAATCCCAACTGTAGTAGTAAACTGCGACATTCCGCTTTAATTATCGCCAATTGGCCAAAATTTTTAAAAAGACTAAAATTTTTGATGTTTTCATCACATTTGGAATTCTCTAATCAACAGTGTATCACTCGACACAGCTTCATCCAGTTGTACTTTTAAACTGTATTTTAGCTACAGTATCCTGACTATTGTAAAATTGTGTTTCAGTGAATTCACAAATTGTGTTATCTTTTTGTAAAAAGCGTTCTTTATTAGATGAAGGACGTTTTTTATGAAAAGATCACACAATTTGTGATCTGAAGAACAACGAGTGCTGAATCTATGTGTGTATTCTGGTGAATTTCTGTGAAATGAGGCATTGTACTGCTTGCCGGGGATAAGGATTTTTGCTGTTGTGGATGATTGATAGGTAGCACGAAGGCACATCAAAATAACAAATAATAGCATGCGCTTGTTTGCCCTTTCACGATCGATTATACGTTTGCTTTTCACGCGCAGTCATTTGGCCACATTTCATACGGCTCGTTTGATCGATTCGATTTTATCTTAAAGAAAGCAACGGACTGTAGCATTTGTTTTCTCCGTTAATATCGTCTTATTGTGGGTCCCTGTGAATAATTTAGGATCTGAATGAATTGTATATGTCCCATACAGTCCATTGTACTGTATACATGTCTCATATAAAGTTTTGTGAACGTTAATCGTATGCATCATAAAAGTTGACTTTTCATCAGCTGTTGAAACAACTGTAGACATTGTTTGATTGAATTCAAATCGAACAAAACACCATTTGCAAGCGATGCCACTGAAATTTTAGAAANTAGTTCGCCTTCTTGCTCGAATATCTATCCACGCTTGAGTGATTCATATTTCAACGGATTAATGCGTTTATATTAATCTTGAGAATTTATATTGCAAAGTTTTATCGAAAATTCCTTGGAAGCTGTTGTTTTGATGATGTAATTAAGCAATAACATTCGAATACATCGAATCTGAAACATTTTCAGAAACAACGAATCTGTTCTGATGAAAGCATGTAGCCATTGTATCGAAGTGGATTCTCAGAGTAACCAAAGCGTCCCAGAAGCGTTTCGTATGGGTCATGTTTGATCCGTTGTTAATTGAATCGACGACATAATCGCATTTCGAACACATCGTTCATGAATAAACAGATTCTTTCTGTTTCGATTCCACTCGATCGTGTTGTTCAAACAAACTTTCACTTGTGAATTATTTTATGGCGATGTCAATGCTGTCGCTAATATGCATACACGAAATATTATTATTATTATCATACAATCTATCTGTTCCGAGCGTTGTTCATTAATATTCTCTGCTTTCATGCACTCCGCACGTCAAGTCCTTTCATGTGCTACCATCCGTATTGTTTTCAAGTGCTATACGGTCCCCATTTCTGAGTGATTTCATCCGAATGAATTCAACTTACAACCAACTTGTTTTGAACTAATCGTCGATTTAGTTCGCATGAAAAGTCCGCTGCATTATGAGTTGATGATTGGATAAAGAACTGACATGTATCGATGTTGTCTATGCGTATAGCCAGGTGACATATTGATATTATCAGTGTTCCATTGTTTTGTTAGCCTTTTTGATAGAGCTGGATAAATGCTTGCACATATTCAACATGAGTTGGATTGATGCTGTTCCAAAAACCTAACGGATGGTTATCAAATATTCTAGGTAAAAATGTTCAAAATTAAAATGCTCACAGCTTTTTATGGAATGATTGATCCTCCAAACGTATAACGTATAAACGTATAATTGCCCACACTAAATGGTGGTTGATATACCCAAAGATATTTCGTGCTCTAAACAATGCTACTATTGTTCAACATAGTAATCAATGACATCAGGAAGCTACCAAATACAAACGTTTTTCTCAGTGATGATTCGGTTCTTCGTTNATTTTCTTCGTATCTGATAGAAATCATTTCACAATGGATACATGGAACCTCATATGATTATCCATTCATTCATTCATTCATTCATTATTCACTACGATCATCAGCAGCGTATGTACGTAACTGCGAGTATTGTATCGAATGATAGACTCTACATCACGGATTTTGATATGATCATATGCACTGACTATATATTCTTAAATCCGCTTGAGTTCTTCATCATTTATAACGATGTGAGACAGTAATGGTGGAAACTATGGTTGTATTAAAAAATTTCTTGGAGCCGTACGCGAAATCGAGCTAGATACAAAACGATTTGCATTGAACAGTAATGATGCTGTCCGTGATCACATCAATTATTCATTCATGTTCACAAGATTTATTAGTTTTGCTGCATAATGAAATGAACGTTGTTTGATGCCCTTTTGAGTAGTATTCATTGTTGACGTGTACGATTCGACATCAGTCGCTTTATTACAGCAATGTGATGTGCCATTTTGTAGGCTCAATATTCCAAAAGTAACACAATCATGGATGAGGCTAAAAATATGGCATTGTTGTTTTTTATGGACCATCTGATGCAAAAGAATGGTCGACGGACAATTCACGATCTTAGTTGTCAGTTTGGTGCACGGGGTTTTACACCCGAAATGCGGGATGCAGTTGGTACCACTCAGGAGGGTCTGACGGATTTCTTGAATCAACATCCTTCATTATTCACTGTGGAAGGCGATCAGGTATTACCACGAATATGTCATAAAGTCACTTATAATTAGTATATTATCGTACTTTCGCTCATATTATTGCATGGCAATGGTGCGAAATAGGGACAGATAACTTAAATATGTGTACATTCACCTAATCTCAAAATGAAGCACTTCAAGAATGTATCGCGGCAATTTTACAGGTTTGTTTGAATGGCTTTGGCGACATAACTGCAAAAAACAATCCGTTGTTACAAGCTACCGCAAATTTTCGTAATCGAGACTACGAGAAGGAAGCTGTGCAGTTCTTTGAAGCTAAACTTCAGAAGTTCGGACCTGAATTGCAGGTATTCACTGTCTTTAGTTCCGCATCTCCAATATCATTAGGATGACTGAATGGTTTCGATTCCTCATTATCTCGTTGGAATCTGTTGATTCATCATCATCACTAAATCATTCTCAGAACAGTCTCAAACATTCATCGATGACCATTTTGACTGACAAATAAAAGATGTTCCTATATGATTATCCATTTTTATTGCAATTCATCTGCACGATTGTGATTATTTCGTTTTTATTAGCCCTCAAATTGAGCACGATTCAAATGGATCGAATTTGGTAATTGCAGATCAAAAGTCTGCTTGGCCATCGCTCACAAGCGGCTCCAGAAGTACGACTCGTTTCTGGTCGTCATTTGAAGGATTTCTGTGAGTTTCTACAGTCTCAAACTGAGTATTTCGTCGTGGAGGGGGATCGAGTACGACTGAAGAATATGCCCGAACCGAGTAACGCTGGTGTTGAGCTGGATGATGAGGGTAAACCGTTAGCGGGCGTTAAAGCCAAGCAAGCTGCAGTGGAATATCTACGATCTGTTGTTGAAATGGTTCGTTTTTATGTGATTATTTTAACCCAAATATTCTGTTCATATTCAGAGAATTTCGTAGGAATTAGGTTGCTATTTTGTTCATGATCAGGTCATTATGGAGTTTAATCAGCTAACAGTTCAGAACGAAGAACAACCAATACCAATGGATATATTCTATCAAAAGTTCTGTGATCGTTTCTCACATACGGTCAGACAAGAGGTCGCAACCAATCCAAAGGAATTACTCCAATTTTTGAAGCTCAACCGCAACGTTTTCTTTATACGATCTAATAAGGTTAACTGCCATTCAGTATTTCTCTGTCCACTCAGTTGAATATTGTCCACTCAGTCACCCATCAGAATCGCTGTCACTAGACAAAAACATCTATCGTCAATGTCATCCAATGTTAACGCTCCTTGACATGTGTCATTATCATATCACTCATCATTATGCATCAACGGAGTTTTTTTTGCTCATGATTAGGAGAGGAATTATCCACGAAAAGGGTTCAACAAATTCTTTTTGAATTAGTTTCGATGCAAGTGATTGTTCAAGGTGTCGTTGGTGAAGAACCGCACATCGGAGGACGGTTCAGAGTCGGGATCTACAGAAGGATCGGAATTTGACAACAACAACAACAGCAATACAAGTAGCAATAACAACGGAATTCTAACTCAGAACGCATTGAATCGCATCAATCTCGTGAAAGCACTCAAACCTGCTCAGGTTCCTCATTAACTCTAGTATTCTGAAGGTTATTTTCAAACAGGAATTTCCTCTGAATAGTCCGTTGCAAGTTTACGAGGCAGTGACGTTTTCAGGAAGCAATTAGTTCGGTGAATGCAGAGATTGATGGAATGGACGAGAAGGTGATCGGAGTTGATTTCAAATTGGTAACGTTGGGTATTCACGGTGAAGAGTTCCTATCGTTGGTTGTTATCGCGACTCCAAATCAAATTATTGTTTTTGATTTAGTGCACAGCGATACGATTCTGCTTGAAAGTGGATTGAAAGAAATTCTTGAAAGTGAAAAAATCGTTAAGGTTTGTTCATTTTTTCATGTACGCAATATAAAATTGTGAAATTATCCAAATATTCATGTGTATGTATTCCATTTTGTTTATCCACTGAAATCATTTGTTAATTCTAGCATCATTTTGTTAAAATCGACCATTCTACTGAGAATTTGAGCGAAACTGTCGATCGCTTTATTGAAGCTGATCAAAAAACGTGAAATGTTTGTCAATTTCAGGTGATGCATGAAGCAAAACGTGTTGCATCGTTGCTTGCACATCGTTATGCTGTCAATATTAGGAAGGTTTTTGATACTCAAGTAAGTGCTTTAAAATCTACTGCTACTTTTATGATTCTTGCAAAAATCAACGGAGACTGAGCTGTCTGAATCAAAATTGAATGAATTTAGTGAGAAAGCAAATGCATCTGAACAAGATTAAGGTTGTGATTACCGTTTAGATAGCGCATGCAGTGCTGCAACACGAAAAATTCGGTAAACCCCTATCAGAAATGCGTTCAATTTCATTTCTTAATTTGCAAAGGGTGTACTATCCGCAGTCAATTATGATGTCCGATGCAACACCCAGAACACTCTCACAGTCACCAAGGTAAATACCTCAACTGCATCTTAATCTCATTTNACACCTTCACACTGCATTGTTTTTTCAACACCAATCTCATAGCATAAATCTACTAACAAACCAATCTTTCATATTGTTTAAGCATTGTATCGATAATACAAAGTGAAATTTAAGATGCGCTCAACTTGAAAAGTTAATAAATCATGATATAGTCTCCTCATGAATTAGTTCAATAGAGATAATTTCAGTTGGGGTCAAAGGCCAATCACAGATGATATGCTCATTAGCGTTGTGGAGGAGGCTCATTGTCTAATGACGGTGCTTTATCGGATGTTGACGAATATGATACCAACGCATTTGAGACCGTTGTTCGACGCGAAATGTGTTGAGGCGTTGATCGCAACACCGAATCGTCCACCACCAAACCAACTCCAAGTGGCTCCGATGCAGTATCGCAACGCAAGACGATCACTCGCCAGCCCGATCAGTAACAGTAACACCAACAGCAACAGCAACACCAACAACAATTCCTCACTGCAGCGCTCTTCATCGCCTCGACAAACCTGTGAAGTTTCCACACAAACATTTTCTACGGGCGAAATTAATGTGATTGATATTTACTATGACAGCTGATTAGTCAACTGAGCGTTGTGCTCAATTTCTTATAAGTTTGTTCATTGTGGCCTTATCATATTTGTTTGTTTTACCTTCAATTATCGTTGAATAATATTTATTGGTGATGTCTATATAAGTCATAATTTCCAACATCTACTTCTTGACAATTGAGAATCTTCATCTTTAATGTATTGCTCTCTCTCTGTCTCTCGTCTGTATTTCTGTCACTCATCATTGTTACTGTTTTCATCGCTCTTATTGTTATAAATCTTTTTATTAACGTTGTAATTGAATACGATATGTCATTGCGGTTATTCTTCAGTATATTTACGGTTCCTTACCAATATCACTACTATTTTCATTGTTGTCAGTATTATTTATCGTGTTATTATAACTGTATTTTTTATTATATTATTATCCACTGTTTCGTAATATCTCTTCTTCACAAAATTTTTTTTTCAGTTAGAATATTTCTAATGCGCTTGGTATATGCTTCATCGGTACGGGACGGCTTTCTAAGTGTATAACAGTTTCTGATCACTACCACAACTATTGCTCTGTTTTCTTTTTTTTTTTNGAGAGTTCGTATGGTTTTAGTGTGGAGGGTAAAGAACGGAACTGCAAACAGTTCATGAGGTTTTTCACTGCTTGTTGAAACGAATTTTGTGTTGATGGTTCAAATTCGATTCCCCCTTCGTTAAGAGAAAGTAATAGCCTCCCTCAATCTCCGAATCACCTCACATTCGGCTAATTTCTTCCAAATGGTTTCATAGTGAAGTGACCGTAGATGTGAAATATTTGGAAATAGTTCTAACGTATTCGAAGAGGTAACCGCCAACAGTAAATCTTGAAAGTTATCGTTCTCATTGGTAACATTTATTCACAATCGCAAACAAAAGACAGAAACCAACAAATAAGACGAAATGAATGGGATGTGTTCATCGTGGATAAAGAATGTGATAGCTGTTTTCAGATGAACAATACTCGAAGCCATCCTAAACATTCAGCAAATCGACGACGACTGAATGAACGAAACATTTTTAATTGGCAGTTTGCAAGATGGTTTAGGCAAATAACGAACAATTTGCATACAAATATTGTAACTTATCATATAATACATCACAAGCTCACTTCATAGTCGTTGAATGAGATGTAATTGGCGATACAATTTGCATCTGATCAGCACTAAACGTATGTTGCGCAATCGATGTTGAATTTACACGATTCATGCAGCTGCTTTTTTTCAGCTGCTATCAATGATATTGTTATTAACAAAGTGAGATTATCAATATCGATGCATAACACTACTCCAAACATGTATGCGCTTCACTGAAAACAGAGCCGTAACAAGTGCTGTAATGAGGAGCAGGAATTGATAAGGTGATCATCTAACGACGTGTTACACGCATGGACGTGTCAGTGTTCATATCGAAATCATCCAGGTCGAGATTGGAATCAATCGTTGCTGATTGCTCGATTGTTTTCGACAGGAATGAAGGTGTATCGGTGCGGTAGTGAAGTTGAGGCTTTGACAATTGGTTCATATCACGGCGTTTCTTACGCTTCAACAATTGCATTGGACGCCGATAGAACATATACCAAGTCATTTCACATATCAATTCCAATATTTCCATCACTGCAATTATCTTCATCTCAATAATGCCAACAGTTTGTCCCTATTTCATTGTTTATTTAGAAATAATACAAAATCTTCTCAATATTCAACAAGTAACAAATCTTCCTCAGTGCTTTCCGATTACTTGCAAACACACATTCTGTAACGATGCTCTCATACAAACGAACCTATCTTAGCAACGTCACACAAAAACTACGATGCGTTAATTTGTTCATAAGTGTACATCACACAAACTCCTAGCAACATCGTGCAGTTGCTAGGACGTAGTATGCTGAATCATAAATGATCACTTACTTGTGATGATTGAAAATCCAATCCACAATCCGATGTTTCCACCAAAATCTGAGAACAGATTCACTAACTTAAATTTCATTACTATATTATTCGTAACATATGAATGAATGCAAAAAAAAACTTTTGTTGCTCTCTTCTCTCATACACGCTTTCGAAGTCTAAACGGAGCTGAGTCTCAAAATTTTTGAGGTAGAAAGTTATTTCTAGGTTAACGCAAACCGATCAGAATAATGATAAAGCCACACCGAATATCCAACTGTTTCTTTGAGGGTTTCAAAGTTGAGTTGTTCGTAGTAGATTTCGATGAAAGCCGTATTCAATCTGCAATGCATGAAACAATCATATCGAGACATTTTCTCAGTTGGATGCATGGTAATCGTTCAAAATCGTCACCTGTAATACTCGGTGCACGCCTTAGAATCGTTGTAAATATCGAAAACTGCTGGACAATCGACGCCGATTTTAAAATTTAATGCTGGCCATGCGGAACACGAATATGCGGTCTCGAAGACATTCTCGTGACATGGTTGAACACAATAACAGTCGTGCTGCATATGATGGAAACCACCAGTTTGGCCAGTTAAATTAGCCAAGCATTCTCCTTAAATTCATCACATGCGGACCGCTTCATGTCAGAGTTTTTGTGCAAAACTATGCGTGAAAGACTCACTTTCGGCGTAATTTTTCGCATCACAAGGACGATAGTCATCGCTGGGCAGCGGAAAACGTGGATCACCACAACCACATCGGCCCAGTACCATATGTTGGAAACAATTTCGATAACAACCCTTCAAAGTATTTTATAGACTGCAGTACGGATGCGCGATGAAGGTTTTTGCTTCAAAATAAACACTTTAAGAGCAGCAGCACTTACTTCTGGAGAATAGTGCTCCTCATAAATGTAACCATCAGGTCGGAACGTATCGCTACAAAGACCGTATGGTGCATCCAGTCGATGGAGCATTTTCTTGAAAATACGCGACTGTTAGAACAAAATGAAGAATTTCAATGATTGCTTGAAACAGTTGATCTTTATGATACTTGAAACTGCTTTCAGTCGAAATGTAGATCATTGAAAGCAGAATGAAATTTCTGGCTTGGGAGTAACACAACTCCCTCCGCATTCTTTTGAATGATATGCACCAATTTTTTTGGGAAGAACTTATAGGGTCGCTAAAAGTTAAAACTTCGAAACGGTCCGAAAAGAAAACTAAATGTACACAAAGAAATATCGGCATTCACCGTTTTGAGACCAAACGACGACACAAAACCCGTCGGAGCACTGTATCCAAACGTATCAGGGAATGGCTCTTGATCCTAAACCAGTATAACTTCTTCAAACTTGTGTAATCCATTAGCACATAAGGAAAATGAGTTGAATAACTGAAAAATATGCTGAAAGAGAAAGAAAATGTTTGTTTGTAGTGATTGATTACTTGTTCATGTACAACAATTCGAACGCCAGCCGCTTCTGTGGTTGGGAGGTAGTCACTTTGGTTTACATTCAGAAGTAAACGCAGACCATACATTGGTCCTGCAAAAAACAACTGTTCGTTTTGCAAAACATTGAAACAAACTGTCACGATTTTATCAATTGATAGCGATTATCATCTCTTTTCTGATAACGAATTGTCAGCGATCAATGGTGAGCATCACTAACGTCAATTCTGCGGTTTCCATATATCAATCCATGTGAGCACCGTTATGCAAGAAACAACTAATTCAGAAACATCGTTCACAATACAAAAACAATCGTATCACTCACCAGCACGACTGTTTTTCAGTTCCACTGAGTCATTAAAATTGAACGTATAACAATTGCCATACTCTGGATCCAAATGCAATTTGAAATCTCTGAAAGCAAAAAAANTGATCAAGTCCACCTAAAAGTGTCTCAATAAATCAAACACCAGAAGCGATCCATATGAAATTTGCAAGAAAATTTTCAATAGCAATCGCTCAAATGCACCTATCCATGTTGCAGTCTTCACTGTTGAATGAACACCGCAAAACAAATTCATCCAGTGTATAAGACATGTTTTGACGAACTTCACGCGGTAATGCGGCCACCATAAAAATCAACGTTTCCTTTGCTCTCGTCGTTATCGCAATCGGATCTTTACGATCCTGAAACGATTCGTTCCAGTTGTTTATGTGCAACATGGCTTGCTAAAGGTTTGATAAGCAGATGCAGATAGATGACGTTTTATTGCAATAATGCTCTTTCAAGTTACCTTCATATCGAAAGCGCCGACAAGCTCGGGCGATGAGGTGGATGGTTCAGTGGCTGGAAACACCGAGTAATTATTCGGATTCCACCACCTAATTTCGCCTCTTTTTGGCATCACCACACAACTGTGTGAGGCGGACTGACAAAGGCATTTCCAAGTGACATTTGGTCGTTTAACGACCGTCGCGTTCGGCCGATCAGGATCATCGCAAGTCTTCGATATGGAACAATCGAAACACTTCTGGAAAATATCTATCACTTTTCCGTTCGATGAAAAAAATTTGTATTCAGTGACCATTTGAATGATCGATCATATTCCCACAAACACACATTTTTTGAGTTGAATGCGTTCAAATTGATTGTTTCGAAATTGAGAATTGAAAAATGCGTGAAATCATGAAGACGGCTGTGTGTGCAGTTAAAAGGCCGAAAATGAGTGTTGGGATTCGTTGAATTTCGGTTGCATTTTAATGTGAGATTACCTTCTCTGTCCACATTGTCGTCGGATAACAAGGCCATATGTTGCCCGTGTTAACATCTTCAAAACATATACATATTGTTGCGTTCCTCTGAAAATA